TGTGATGTTTTGCCAAACATCCATACATGTACCAGCAAGGACAGTCAATTTTTACTGATTTGATGTTTTGCCAAACATCCATACATGTACCAGCAACGACAGTCAATTTTTACTGATTTGATGTTTCGCCAAACATCCATACATGTACCAGCAAGGACAGTCAATTTTTACTGATCTGGTGTTTTGCCAATAAATGAATATCAGCCTGATTTGATGTCTAATCCGATCAGTTGAACTTTATTTAGAACCTTGAGTATGTACTGTGCATTGAACCTCCATGCAGTCATATGCTACATGGTATGTGGTAGTCAATTCAGGGCACCTGACTGATCAACTGGACAATCTCAGACTTTGGCCATGTATCTCCATCTCTTAGTTTCACATCCACAAATATGCCTACATACGATGTATTTACTTGCCAAGAGGACAGATCAGAGCAAATTCATGTGCAACAATTGATACAATCCTTCTGCCAATGCTGAAGGCCTTCCTGACGTACAACTTTCATAGCCAGATTAACTATTTTATAATTCTCACTGTCATCTTCTCTGGAAGAATTTATGTCAGTCAGCTGTTAGTGCTTGTCATATTTCACAGCTGAAACTGAAAGCTTCTGATCTTTGCTTTGCAATCTTACTTTGTGTGCGTCACTCCTGACGTGATCAAAGCGGTCTCCTCTGAAGTATTGATGGCAGTCTCGGCAGTAACGCTGCCTTGACCTACGAACACAAGAAACCCAACAACTCAGTAACTCAGTTGACAAAAAGCACAGGAAATTCTCACAATGAATTGCTTTTGCAAACTGATTTTCAAATACATGAATGGAAGTTTATAGATGCATACTAGAGAGATACACACAACACAAGAATGAAAAAGCGTTGTTAAGTTTAGCTATGGTTACAAACAGCCACTTGAAGATAGTGATTTTCATCGCTGTTACTCATTCTCTGAGAGAGAGAACAAAGACTGTAAAGACACTTCTCTATTCAGAGAATTCTTGGGAACAGAGATTACAGATACTAAAAGCCTCGCAACCCTTGCTTTGAAGCAGATAGGATCACAGAGCCAACTGATCTACCAACCTTTGATCCCCACTGCGACCTTCCCCACCACGACCTCCACTGCCTCCACTGTTCTCCAGTTTGCGCAGGTAGTTCTGAGCCTGGAGACGGGCTTTAGCCTGGTCACTCTGGAATGTTGCTACCTCACGGATCTTGTCCATAGCATCAAGGTGCTTCTTGCCTGTCATGTGAGTCTGGTAGGCCTGATGGTGGCAACACAAGTGACAAAAGGCTCATCTCAACTTGAATTTTCCCAATACAACAGAATGCTGCTACAACAAACACCCCCAGACTGAACATTTGGAAGTAGCATTAATGTTACCATACACCCTTCATTTTAATGTAATGAGCTGTAATGCGCATTACAACATTTTATGGATTTTGCGAAATAGAAATGACATTATTATTATTATGACCAAACATCCCCCTTGGCTCCAACATTTTCTTTCAACTTTTACCAAACATTACCAATTTGTTTCAAATAAAAGAAACATTCATTAGTACTCATGATAACTCAAAAGTTGAGAAAAATTGCACTCATGATGGGACAACAGCCAAAACATTGCGTGGTCTATATCTTAGTGGGAAATAAATCATATCTAATGTGGCTGTGCGGGTGTCCACAGGTAGCCAAGAAGATCATGGCTGCCAAGTACATGTAGGAGTGTATAACATGCAATACTGGCAACTCTGGTATGGAAAATCTTGCATGATAATCGCTACAGGTCAGGAGATATGAGCTCAAAAACCACCAAACAGAAAAAATGTGCAAATAGACACTGGCACGTACTCGTTACTTGACTCACAGAAATTTTCCATAAACATCTTGCTAGTTGTGATCGTTTTCCAAAATGCCTGCTTGACATTTTGTGTGACTTCAGACATGTACATGATTGCTCCTTCAGTGCTGCTTTCTTTGAACGGATCTCAGTGCAGCACATTTATTAAAGTGCCATTTTATCAACAGCAATCAATGTAACCGTGCCTATATGTATGTCTCTTGAACAGGGTAGTTAAATTAGTAATCTCCCTATTTCTGATTTCTAATGTACTTACATACATCCAGTTCTTATCTACAGGGTTCATACACCCTTGCGAAAAAAAAAATACCGGATTTTCCGGGTTTTCTAGGAGGCGTGCGAACCCTGTATCTATGACCAACAATGCGATCATGGTAATGGACCTACCTTGATATCACGACAAGTTATGCTGCAGACATGACAAAACCAGGTGCTGTTTTTCTCAGCTTCCATGTCTATGTTAGCCTGCTGTATGAAACACAATGGTAGAGACAATAAGCCTACGCGATGACTTCTATATTCTCATGACCTATGTGAACAAATACTGTTGACAGCACTCTCTTGCATATTCATGAGGATTAAGACAAGTAACCTACCAGTGTGTACTGCCATGATCAATTAAATGAATAACTGAATACTACCTGCAGGTGTACCAGGGTGCCCAATGTTTATATATATGCCACAGGTCAGTATAATCTAATCCTTGTGGGAACATTTGCTATTCTGCCGGATGAAGCTTCTGCTCCTACAACATGGGTCCATTAGACATGGACGTTCAATGGGTCGACTGGTCTGCCGGCAGACATTTTATTCCGCTGAAGAAGTTAGAGTATTTCAATATCCTATCTCTCATTATTTTCTTGTAAGAGCTGCAAATTGGCCTGAATCTCATTTGAGTTCTCTGTCAATGTTAATTTGGGCCACAAAATGGAAAAACGTTGCATTGCTACATTGCATCAGCCTGTTACTTGTGCTATGCTCCCCTTGGAACTATGAATTTGTAACGATTTCCACAAGGTTAATAGTTTATTTAGGACTAAACCCTAACACTTTGTGATATGTCTCTCTTCAACCCTAACCCTGCCAGATGTAGCACAGTGCATCAGGTGAACAAGTATGATACACTTTGATGCACTGGGCAAACAACAGCAGCCAACAAACTGGCCATCTTGAGACAATGGGAGCTAGTACCATTGCCAAACAATGCCACAGTTGGATCTTTTGGAGACTGGTAACCACAGACTCCCAGGCTGTTTGGCCTTGGAGAGAGTTGACCTGTTAGATCTTGAGGTAACTGGTAACCACAGACTCCCAGGCTGTTTGGCCTTGGGGAGAGTTGACCTGTTAGATCTTGTCACACTGGGCAGGCAAGCGCCTACCAATGATGCAAATTTGATGTATCTGACAGGGTTTCTAGCCAACGTGGGCTAGAGGGTTCTGCTTAAAGCATCAAGAATCTACTAATATCTACCACAGCACAGTAAACCATGGTGCACGCTCAATACTCAAACACATGGCCACAAAGCTCTGTGCAAAGTAACAGTAGCTGAGCTCTACTGCCCCTACATGTCCTGCAAGACCAAATGTTGGAGGTTCGTAAATGTGAAAAGAAATACATTGATTGTGTGAGAGTGGGTACCCACCGTGGGATTGGTGCTTGTTCTGGGGCTCTGCATAGGTTTCTTCCTTGCTGGACCTCCTTCATCAGTAACTGCCCTACCCTTGGACTGCTGACGGATGGTCACCTGCAGGTCATCAACTGGCCGACCAATACTGGTGACTGTAGTGAAAAAGTTTACAAGGCCAACTTACAACTTTTCTGCAACACTGTGACTGTCACACATATGACTGTGTTTCAACGTAGCAACACAGCTATAACATGTTAGTTTTGAAGTCTAGAGCTTTCATTTCAGATGCTGGGAATGGTCTTTAAATTACCTTTCAGCAACTTGCTTACCCTCATCATCAGTTGGTTTGGCTGGATCATAGATCTCCGAGTTACTCCTCTTCCTTTGCATATTCTGCTCTCTGTCCTCACCTCGACCTCCGCTACGGTGATCTCTGTTTCCCATCCCTGGTCCCCCTCTCCCTCCTCTGCCACTAGCTCCGCCCCCCGCAACCCGCCCCCGGCCTCCAGTCCTTCCTACTCCATCTCTCAATCCACCCCCCGATCTGGCCCCGCCCCCAATGTTCCTTCCCATGGGTCCCCCCGAGGAGTTACGGCGTCGGTCCTGCTGTGGATACTGCTGCTGTTGCCTCGGCTGTCGTTGCTGGTTCATACTGGGTCGGGAGGGATGCTGAAATCCTACACATTACGAACAAATACCACATTGTTAATGAGTCAGACTTTGTACCTGATTGAATATCAACTTCTACATCCAAAGCTTTGACTGTCTGATATCCAGATTGCTTGGCATGGAATAACCACAGGACTTAACTGAATCAAGCAATATAGACTTCATTCTTGTCCAGATGACCTACATGTACAAGGATGCAATGTTCAGGCAATAATCTGTTTTTCAAACTAAACTCCAAAAGAGTGGAAGCACAGGTAGTCTTCTTTACTTGAATATGTTAAATGTACTTTTAATGGCAGCCAAGTGACAACATTCACTTTGTTGAAGAGAATTTCTACTTTGGTCATTTTATTTTTATATCTCTGGCATCAGTAGCCAGAAATTCAGTTTTTACTGAGCTACAGCAGATGCTGGCTCTGTACAACTACTCTTAACAGAACTTTGGATGTTGTTATCACAAAGTAGCAAATCGTAACCCTTTCTGTGTTTAAAACTATTTTCAATTTTAGTAATTTGGGACGGTTTAAATTCCTGGAATATACATGTACATGGTCATTGAAACTGGCCAATTCCAGCTGGTACAGTTTGAAAGTAGCAGAAATTCACCGGTTGATATACTGTGAGAGGTTAATGTGAAAATATTTGAAAAAATGTCGTTTGATGAAAGGCTGATGAGTTACCACACTGAACAGGTTATGCACAGCAAGTTGTACATCTTGACAGGTAAATGACACCTGATGACTTATCATTTTTGTCAGATCATGTCGACTCTACTGCAAGACAACCTGGACATCTCATGTACAAACCTTGCTGGCGATCAGCTCTGCCATCATTAGCAGCTGCAGACAGCATGGCTTGCTGTAGGCGTACTTTGGCTGCCACTAACTCATCAATGTCATTGTCCAACTGACCGAGCATGTCGTGATGGGTTCGCATACCTGCAGAAGGACTGGGTAGGAGACCACCGCCACGGCTGGACCCCAGGCTAGGACCATGGTTGGATCCAAATGAAGGGCTTCTCAGGCTGGGGTCATTCCTGCAGAGAAATCACTTTTCATTTCTTATCTGCGAATGCCAATGAAAGCAATTTCAAACTGACAGGTGCAAGTAGGTGACTCTGTACAAGTATGACCAGAATCTAAAATCAGTCTTAAAATCAAACAACTCGATTTTTGAAAAGCCACCACTAAAACGATGTTCATTCTAGCTCCATGAAATATCAAGCAATTATTGGAAGAAACATTTTAACAGCCTTTCCACATCATGTGCTGCATTAATACACAGCTTGCTATAGCTGTACATACATATTGCACAGGTCAAAATTAACTTCAATCTCTTAGTGGCCCTCAGAGCCGGCAGGAAATTCACCGCACTGGCCCTTGGGAAAATTTGAGTCTGGGTTGAGTACATGTAATGAAATCGATGAGGCCCACCATGCATGCCCATTTGCGTCAGTTGAAATTCTCTACCAAAACAGCTGGAAGGCCAGCCTGACTAGTTCTGCTTCTCTTTCCTGATTTTTTGGGAAACAGAATCTTAATTTTGTGGCGCAACCACAAAATTGTTATCTGCAAGATAGAAAAACAAATTTGAAAAACTGTAAACTAAAGAAAAACCATCCTGTCTTTTCTGTCCTCACAAAAGACCTCTCAACAACTTGTTTCACGTCAAAACGCTTGAATTTGTTTGCCTGCAACATTCTCAATTTTCAAAAAGAAACTTGTGTTATTTTCACAAATTCCTTTTGCATTTCACTATCGCGATGGTGAAAACACATGTCCAATAATACTCAATGCATTGAAGCAAGGCTGCACTGGTTCTAGCCTAGCTGTGCCATTGCCAAAGATAGCATGATGGTAACACGGCAACAAGTCCATGCATTCCAGTCAAAATAGCGTCGTTGTACTACCCCGTACGCACACAGAACCTCTACAGCTGCACGTTGAAAAAAACCCTTGTCGCAAGAAGATTTCTGCAAGTTAATTCACAGAACGTGATCTCCTGTCTATGTATTTTCTGTATTCATGAATTTGATTTGAGGTTGTATTGCTCATACTTGAAGCGAGTGTGTTTCCACAAGATTTCCTGCTGCAGCACAAGGTTTATCCCTTGCCCCTCTTCATGTAGCTGCATCGAGCACACTTGCCATGCGACATACGGACATTGTCTGTCAGTTTCCTGTCGTGATCACCTAACGAATTTGTGAACGGTGGTGTGAATTGTCTATTATTCTCAACAACTGTTAACTGTAGGTATTTTTACATTGATTAACCCTAACAGTCCTCAATCCTCCAACAGGTGAAGGATTGAGGACTGTTAGGGTTAAGGTAATTCGTTGTGGATTTTTTCTCTTTGCTTAACAAGAGAACAATTCTAAACAACATGTATATTAAATCATGACTGCTAGACAGCGTCAGACCAGACTCCAAAACTACATGCAGTGGGGGATCTTCACTCAGTGATGGAAATACATGTAGCTGGATTCGCATCGCAAAATGCAATACATTTTGCAAGAAAAGCGAGCCAAACATGAAATTGATGTGCAATTTTTGCGAATGGAAACGTCTTGTGAAATCATGCATAACAATGGCCACACAACCCGCCCCCTCCGGCACCATGCACGCAGCGAGCTCGCAGCGTGGATCAGATCAGACACCGGCCCCGTGCGGAACGCTGGCGGCTTCACAACAAAAACTAAATGTTTGGCAAAACGAACTCGCGCCCAGTTTCTTGTCCTAGTTAAGCGCAGCGCGAGGCCCACAGATCATGGGGGAATCGAAGTTGCTGTGATTTGGTGGGATTATATTGCATGTGTAGTTCAGTACAGTACGGTACGAGCACACACATCAGGCACACATATACATTAAATGCGGGATAAGTGGCGCCATGAAGTACACGTTGTAAAAAGAGCCCAGATTTTGTGGTGTCACGTAATATTCTTTTGTTCACGAACCTGGCCCAGTGCGCTGCTGACCTCTTTTCAACAGGGGCCAGATTAGCGTGCAACGGTTTTGTGTGGCTCATCGCTGCAGTGGTGGAGCACTTTTGTCCCAGGTAGTAATCCACTCGCTCTAAATGCCCCCCAAACCGCGGTATACTGTTTCAAAACAAGGCAAGATTATCTCCACTTTTGAGAGTGAAAAAATGCCGGTAATGCCCAGCAGCCTGGTCTTTTGTTCCGACTACGGTCTGTTGTTACAAGGCCCTGTTCCCTTTGTCCGAGTTCGGAGACGCCGGCCACGCATATAATGCATACGTGTCCGGATCCGGAGTCCCCGGCAGGAAGTGGTTAAGGCAAAATTGGAAGGTCAATTTCCAGATGCTGACTTTGGCCCTACGTTAAGTTAGGAGGCCCTATGAAAGAGTTAAGACAACCTTTTTTCCCACATGCGTATGTACATACCTGAGATTGCCACTCATGTCTAAGAGACTTGGTCTGTTACTGATGCCTGGTGATGGCCCCCATCCAGGTGACATTTGTTGCATGCTGGATCGGCCATGCAATCCTTGCTGCTGTCTCTGTTCCTGCTGCCAGTACATCATGTGGACTCAGGACTACAGAGAAAAAAAGATGCTCCTGTCATTAGTGTCAATAACAAGATTAATTCCTGATTTAACCTCAGTAGGTAAGCAGAACAAAGAAGCACGGCTGTGTCATATTGTGCACTGCAATAACTTTCCCTCACAGGAATATCAGGTTGCACTATGATGTTGTCCATCAACTATGCCTGACTACTACAAGTGCATATTTGAAACATTGGAAAATATAGGATTTTAGTGAGCTTAAGGGTGACATTGATGGTATGAAAGTCCCAACTCTGAAGAATACATATGCACCAGTGTGAGTAAAATTGTCTTTTGGAAGATAGGTCTATTAGGATTCAAAGTTTGTGATAATTCTAGTTAGGATTTCAGGTGTTAGCGTCCTGCACACAAGTAGGGCTGTGATGGCAACAGCATGGACAAATGTCAAAAGAGAACCATTCACAACCCTATGTGTGACTGGGGCTACCTGCATGACCTGGAATAGTATATGTAAGTAGGCTAGCCCAGGTTGGCCGACAGTCTCTATATCATTACAACTGACATCCAGGTTCTGAGACTTCTGTACAGCACGACCAAAAAGTTTCTACCAATTTTTTCTTGGTGTCCATTGTTGAAGAAACTAATTTTACGTTTCCATGTTCTTTATGTCCTTCTCTACACGACTGAGGGGGGGTTAGGAATTTCAGAAAGAACTATGGACTGCAAAATGAGGAAAATACACTCAGACATGTTGCTACAGTTTTTCACGCTTGTAGACGTAATTCATCCATTCTCAAGTTGCAGAGTGCTCGCACGTACAGGAATCCAAGCTGCATACAAACACTACACATGCAAATTCCAGGAAAGGTCTGTTACATGTCTGCTACACAGAGGCCATAACTGGTACCCAGCTATAACCTCACTGAATATATCAAAACTGTAGGTCCGTTTTTTGTCAGGTTGGGGGCTTCAGACTGACTGGCAAGCCCCTTATTGGTAACCCCTAAATTGCTCATATTTTTGTTCAGCTTTACATTTGGGTTTATAAATATGACTTTTGCAAAACAACCTGCTGTATTTTAAGAATAACTTTGGTCAGCATAGCCAAGTATGCAGGGTGCTTGTAATGGGAATAATGGTCATCCAGTGTTTAATTTGTTTGTAGATTTGTATTGATTAAAGATATACAAATACACAATATTGTACAGATGTGATTTTCATTAAAAGAAACAATAACTTATCTTGATGAATGAAGAATAAAAAAGACGATTACTTTGCAAGCTTGATGACTGTGATGCACAGGCAAGAGCGACACTATATATGTAGATCAGGAACACAGAATATGTAGAGGCAGAGTGCTGGCGCACGTGCGGTAAGTAGTGATCCCACACAAATTGTGCTGTTGATCGGCCTTTCATTTTTTACTTGTAACAAAAAATATCATTTAAGCGAGACGGAATTTGTAATCGGCAGTAACGAGCTGACCTTTAGATGTGTGTGACGTTTCGACTTGCGTTGAACTGTAGAAAATCGCCAGGAGAGTCAGCCTAATTCATACAGGATTTTTTGAGGGAAAAGGAGACGCTCCCTCTTT